TGAAAAAGAAATTGAAGAAGCAGAAGGAAGGAAAGGAAGAAAGAAAATGGGATAAGAAAGAAAAAAGAAAAAGTAAAAAAAGAAAATAAATATAAATAATAAATGAATAGAATATAGGAAAAAGAAACCAAGAAAGATAGAAATAAATTGAACGAAAATTGAAATGAAAAGAAGACGAAAGAAGAAGGGAAAGGAGCAAGATAATATTGATATCATGTCTTCACTTCTAGTCAACCTCTTGTTTTTTTTTATAGGCCTGGCTACCTTTTTTTCCCTTCTTTCCTTTATCTTTTTCTTATTTTTTTCTCTAATTTTAAAAGTAATCTTGGTTTCTTATATTTTTCTTTCCTTACTCGTATACTGTGAAGAAATGATTTCATCCTATGGCGTATTTCATCTGGATTGTATGTTTGTCACAAGTTCATAAGTGCCCCTTATGATATCTGATAGCCCTTTTTATTGTTTACCTTGACACGCGTCCCCTCTAATAAGTGCCCTTTTACTTTTTGATATGTGCCACTTTCCCCTTTTTAATAAGAGCCCCTTCCCTTTCTCATAAATTCCTCTTTGACACATGCCTCCTTTTCCTTTCTTGTAAGTACCCTTTCCCTCCTAATGGGTGCCCCTTTTCCCTTTTTTATACGGCCCCTCTCCTTTTCATAAATACCCCTTTTCATCTTTGATAAATGCCCCTATTAAAATCTTATAGGTTCCCCTTTTCCTGTGACAAATGCCCATTTTTCATTATCATTAGTGCCCCTTTTAAAAATCTCTGTTGAGTGCCCCTTGTCAGGTGCGAGAAATGCCCCGTTTTCACCACTGATTACTGCCTCTTTTACTTAGACACATGTTCCTTTTCTTTTCAAATAAATGTCCTTTTTCCATCTGAGTGCTCCATTTTCATTTATCCATAACATGTGCCCCTATTTTTTAAGCGACTAAGAGCAACTCTTTTTCTTTACCCCCCCCCCCCCCCCCCCCCCCCCCCCCCCCCCCCCCCCAAGCTTGTGTCTACGCTAGATCGCATTTACAGTTGATATAAGTGTGTTATATAGTTTTCAGTCTTTCATCATCGTGATTAAAATCCCAAGCTGTAATTTTTCGCACAGCGACCTCACTTATCTTGAAACTTTTGCTTCCATGTCATGTAAGTGAATATTCAGATTGTGCAAAGTAACATGATGCTTAAACAGTAGCTAATTGGACCATGCATGTTCAGTTAAAAGAGTCTGAGAAACAAATATTGAAATCATCCCTCATTATTGTGACCACAATGTAAACAATTTTATATTTTTGCTTTGAGATTTCCCTTTGTATGTGCCCTCCCCCCCCCCCCCCAGAAAGTGTCTTTTTTTGTCCCCCCCCCCCCTGAATATATTGATTAGTTAGTTAATTCGGCGAGACATTGCTGCGGCCAGCTGGTTAGTTCGAGTGAACAGCAAACACTTAGCTAGATGTATTATGCCAAGGCGCTGTGCGCATCGACTAATTTTTCAGGAACTTAGGCACCGTGTTACACTTTAAGACCATGTTACACTTTAAGACCTCAACATACGTCCGCGGTTTGCGGTAGTTTTCCATGGAGTGGTCCGCGGTTGATGGCGTTTACCAACGCACACACACACACACACACGCACACACACGCACACCCACACAATTTTTACGTATTGTTGACCAACTAGTCATTGTAAATTGTGCTTAATTAAAACAAAATAAATGCTCTTTAATTTTGTTTTCTACATTAACGTTTGGCAGACTTACGTGTATGGGAACATAATTGTTGGAATGAAATATTCTTCTTTAAAAATGTTCTATGAATCAGATCATTAACAGACCTGTACAGAAAGTAGAAACATGTATTGAGAGACCAAGATACTCCTGGGCAATGTATCCTAACTATTCTTTAAAATAAATAAATGATTTGTTATGTACGTTAAAGTAAGATATATATGTTTTCCTGTGAAGTGTATGCGCCAATGTGAATCATGGTGTTAATGTAACGTTGTCCTTTTTCTCGATTGTAGGAAAATAATCAATTTATCAAATAATTGGTTGTTGTGCCAAAAAATAGAAAGTTCTGATAGCATAATAAAAGAAAATACGGGGACGCTCCCTCAGAAATTTCCTCATTCTAAGGGTGCGTTTAATCGACACTTTTTCACCCTAGAATCACGGTTTCTAAAGACGTTTAGTTTAAAACGCAATGCGTTCGAGCGATTTTTTCGTCGGTCGTAAAAATAAACGTGTTTGGAAACACAAACATGAAATGCTGAAAAAGATGCGTTTTGTATCATGATTCTGCAGAATCACGGTCGCTAAAATTCGATTGAACGGACGGAGTTCTCAATCATGATTGTATGACGGAACCTGTTCCGGTTTGGCCAAAAACCGCGCGCCTGCTTTTCATGCATTTTGCGTTTACTATACCATGCTCTTCATCGTGGCCTGTTCCATTATGTTATACCTTGTTTTCTCACTATCTTTTTCTCTTTCTGTCTTTCCTTATGTTGTTCTTTGTTTCTTCCTTCTATCCTTGTTATTCTTTGTTTTTTTTCCTTCTATCACCTTATCTTATGTTATTCTTTGTTTTTATAATTCTATCACTTTCTCTTTTGTTATTCTTTGTTTCTTCTTTCTATTCTTATGTTAATCTTTGTTTTTTTCCCTTCACTCACATTCTCTTATATGTTATTCTTTGTTTTAATCATTCTATCACTTTCTCTTTCTGTCTTTCCTTATGTTATTCTTTGTTTCTTCCTTGTATCACATTCTCTTTTTCTCTTTTATTATGTTATTCTTTGTTTCTTCCTTTTATTCTTATGTTATTCTTTGTTTTTTCCTTCTATCACCTTCTCGTATATATTATTCTTTGTTTTAATTCTATCATTTTCTCTTTTGTTATTCTTTGTTTCTTCCTTCTATTCTTATGTTATTCTTTGTTTTTTACTTCTATCACCTTTTATGTAATTCGTTGTTTTAAGCATTCTATCGTTTTCTCTTTCTGCCTTTCCTTATGTCATTCTTTGTTTCTTCCTTATATCACCTTCTCTTACGTTATTCTTTGTTTTAATAACTCTATCACTTTCTCTTTCTGTCTTTCCTTATGTAATTTTTTGTTTCTTCCTTCCATCACCTTCTCATTCTTTGTTTTATTATTGCGATCTATGCTAAAAACAGCAGTCGACAGTCGGCCGTAAACAATTCCAAAAAGCGCGCGCCGAAGTTGACCTAGACTTCCTGGGTCAAACTGCGAGTGTGATGCGAGTGGCTGGGCAAGAAATGAGCTAGAATCAGCGTTGATGGAAAATCGCTTGAACGCTAACCGCAGTGACCTTGTTTATTGTAATGGCGTTTTGATTTGTGATTCATGTTTGTGATTATAGCTTCGAAAATTCGATTGAACGCACCCTTAAAAGGAAGGAAATGTGCCTCGTTCACCGGAGAGATAACAGCTCAGAGTATTTTGTTTGGATCAAGTTACGAACAATGTACATTGATAAATCATTATCCTTATTGAGTGTTTGGATCAAACTATACTTTCGCTGTTGAATATCCAGGGGGCATTGTAAGAACATTTCAAATCGGGGGAGAAGGTGTCGGCCAAATTTTATGTCAAGCCATTCGACAATTCCTACCAAGAAAAATAAGAAATAACCTCTCGCCATTTCATATTAAAAGCAAATATTAGATATAATATATAGTATAATATATGGGAATAATTTATCTAAAAGGTGAACAACAAATTGAGAGAAGTTTAAAATAAAAACATTGTAGGAATAAAGATTATTTGTAATTATATATATTTGTTATACATTGATGGAGTTAAAAAAAAAATCCTGCTTATATTGATTTAAAGGTACTTAATGTCATTAACATCAGTATGGTTGGATAATCGAAATATCAAAGACAAATGCCTTTATAGCGCACTTTTGCGAACTTTAAATGCACAATCTTGTCGTTTGCACAAACATTACTAAAAATGGAGTCTAGGTCATTTCTCCTTTCCATTATGTTTTGGACATATCATTTGATTCTTTTTCATTACGTTCCAGTACATTATTATCTGAAACTTAGCATCTTAAAGTTATTCAGGAAAACTGTACATGAACTGATCATGAGCAGCATAACGTTGAACATGAAACCACATGATTAATCTTACATTCAGAGTTTGAAATAAAGTTTCTCTGCTCTTGGAGAATATAATTCTTTCAAAGGCGTCGTGATGTAATTGTTCATCCTTACAATTGTTGTTGTTTAAAGGGACTTGGTAACATTTTTCATATGAAACAAAATGGTGCTTAGGTAGTGACTTTAATTGTAAATGTACAATTAAAGATAATCTGAAAATGTTAGTAAAAACAGACCATTATTAATGATACAAATTGGGAATAACTGATCTGATCGATTCCTTAATTCTCCCAACTATATTATTACAATTTAGTACATTTTAGGTGAATGAGAATCGTCACAAAGCAATAAATTGGCTCTATATACCCTTCCAGACATTTAAATGTTAACATATTGTCAAGAGCCTGTTTTACGTCTTATTTTCATGGAAAACGGTTGGGAAAGTTCAAAAATGGTTGGGAGGGAGAATGTATTGTTAAAGGGTGTCGCACAGTGACGTCTTCAACGAAAACCATAAATACCTTTGTGGTTTGAAAATTGTTTAAATGATCTTTTTGCATGTTAGAGGGTTAATACAGAAGAAGAAATATAATAAGTAACATTTCATAAAAAACGCAGTTTTTTTCATAAGCCTTCAACACTGTTACCGAGTCACTTTAAGGTTACTTCAGTAGGCCATCATGGATATATGGACACATAAACGTAGTCTATTTACGCAGGTGGGGGGGGGGGGGTGGGGTATTGAGGGATGAGCCCGGATCCCGTTGCACGCATTTCCTTTACATGAACCCATAGTTCCCTTTTACGGTAAAGTGGTATTAAGCTGAAGAACATTATACTTCGGTCACAGATAAAGTTCCTTCTTTCGCGGATAGTAAGAGTGATACAATTCTGGAGCATTGTTTAATCGGAGATATAGAAAGTCCCTTTTTTTAATGGAAGTGGTATTCGTATCCGAGGTATAGTCATTCGGCGGGTTGAGATTCGCTCAACTCACTTCTCTTGTTTCAGTAGGCAGAGCAACCTGTTTGTTATTTTAAAACTCTACCAAACACTCACCTTCTAAGCAAAGGTAAGTTTATTATAAACCTTTTCGTTATACAATGTATGAATATATTGAATATATATATATTTTATTATTTTGCATATAACTTCTTGCTTCTTTTCATAACGATCTGACTTCATTTTTCCACCTTCTCATAAAAATGTGAAGAATGTTGCATAAACTTTCCTGCCCAATTTTCTAAGCAAAGTATAGTTTTTCACCTTTTACTTGTGAACACAAGAAGAAAATAGTATATTTTCTCATTAAATAATTGTATAAACTGAAATGGCAAGTATTGTGCAGTGTAGGCGTAAAGGTGAAGTTTAATAATTATGGGAAGGGGGTAGAAATAATGATTAACGTATAACTATTGACCATCAATAATACTTTTTCTTTCTTCTATTCCACAACATTCGATGATAAAGGCTAATGACATTTTAGCACCATGTTGGTGAGCTCATCCGTTTGGTCGACAATCTTCTTAATCCTAAGGTAATTATTGAACTTGTATTAAACAAAGAGGATTCTAATTAGAAATAGATTCTACCACAGCTTTCGACTATGCTGATTGATGATATTCTTATGTTGATGAGGTAATAGAGTAATAGTGTAATAGCTTGCATACAGGGGCGTCGTTAGACCTTTTTCAGTGGGGGGGGGGGGGGGGGGGATGTAGAAGCCACGGACCACCGATTAAAACATTAATGCCAATGTGTCAATGTCTACACATTTAACCCTACAAACCCCGGGCCGGTGACTGGGGGCTAATTTGCCTACGAACTATTTATACTTACGCATGCGCACATGGTCATTTTTCTTGACCTCATCAATATACGGTCAGCATCGTAGCTCTATAACAAATGTGCAACCATGAAGTGCAACCAATCATTTGCTGATATTAAAGTAAGGTTGATAATGACGATCGACAATGATTTTTAATGATTGCTGATGAAACTTCGAGAAAATACTAATATTATAGGTATAGTCTCTCTCGAAGTCGTCACAGCGGATACACAGTTCTTAGGATAAGATAATTCGCCGGCCGACCGACATTATACAGTACGTCCCAGAAAGGAACGAAACCGAGAATTATCGATGTTTTATCATAACTTTATCACAACTATAATTAATAAATGACACACATTTGTAAAGCTTAGGTCCTATTCTTTCATTTGATGTGACTGATCGGATGCATATTTCACACTTTGGTGATTAAAATGAATTTGAACAAAGGGTAATAAAAAGTCAGACGGTAGCCGATTTTCAAAGAAAAAAAAAATGAGGTGTCATTATGAAGGGGCAGAAAATGAACTTTCTAGAAATATGTTTTCTCTTTGAAATTCAGATACCGTCCGCCAAATGACTTCTTGGTTCCCTTAGTTTTAATTGATTTTAATCCATTAAATGTGTGTACACAGGGTCACAGTCGTAGATGAAACATGGATGAAGGAAAATAAGATAGTAGAGAGAGAGAGAGGGGGGGGGGGGGGAGAGGGAGCAATAGAGGAAGAGGAATCCTTCCCAAAGTAGTTTTTTTTTTAATCTTTGAATTTCTGTTTTTGTTGTTGATCAATACAATTTCACAAATATGTTGCCATTGTTATTTTTACAGGAGACAATGGATTGATCAGTTTAGGTGATATTTTTAATGTGGTATTATTTCCCTTGTGCGAGAAATCCGGTACCGATCTTCCTACTGCATCACTTCCTGTAAACAGTAGGCTCCAATGATTCTTTATGGCAGGGCCCGCAGAAGAGCGGGGCTCGGGGGGAGGGAGGCTCGAGCCCCTCACTTTTTTTAAAAATAAATAGAGAATAGAGAAAAAGAGAAATAGAAAGAAAGAAAGACGCTATATCTCTAATGGTTAAATTGTAAAAATCATACTTAAAAGCGAACACTTGAGTCACTTTTATTGGTTCAACTTGTGTATTACCAGTTTGTTAACTTAATGCATGTATGAACATCTGATTAATACACATTGTTAGTACATCTTGGTTATTTTCATTAATACAAACATCAAATATTGTCAAAATAAACCACACATATACATGCTATAAATCCAAAATAGATCGAAAATCAGATTTTTAATATGTTTAATTAAAACAAAATCTGTTGTCGTTGTTTTAGTGTGCGACTTCTGAATCACAAGTTGAAGTTGAACACGTTGAACCAACACAGGTGATCAAGAGTTCGTAAGAGGTTAACATAAAGGAATCTTTGCAAATAATGAATAATGAAATAGGCCTAGTTGCCTCATTTTGACAAAATTTAACAGGAAACTCGCCATCGAGTTTCATCGGCCTAACCAGTGTTTATCGGAAAAACACCCTTTCACAGTTAAGGCCGCCATTTTAATTTGCGAGTAAACATTGCGTCATCCATGTTGTCAGACGTGCTCATATTGTTGCGTCACTGCCTGCGCTGCACGCTCATATCGACGGTTCCAGGACACCTACCCCCTGGACATCAACCCCCGGATAACCACCCCTGTTAACTACCCCCTAAGACCAATACCCCCTAGGAAAACTACTCCGTATGACGACTACCCCCTGGACAACTACCCCCGGGCAACTACCCCTTGGACAACTACCCCGGACAACTAACCACGGACATTTACCCTCGGACAACTACCCCCAGAAAAATACACCTACGACAGCCATCCTAGAGGGTAGTTGTCCGGGTGGTAGTTGTCCGGCGTTAGTTGTCCTAGGGGAATTTTTCTTTGAGAAGTTGTCCTGGGGTAGTTGTCCTAGGGGGTAGTTGTCCTAGAGGGTGGTTGCCCTAGAGGTAGTTGTCCTAGGGGGTAGTTGTCCTAGGGAGTAGTCGACTGGAGGTGGTTATCCGGGGGATGGATGTCCAGGGGGTAGGTGTCCGGATACGCATATCGACGAATGGCGCCCATGTTGGCGCATGCACACTCTTTTATCCATGAAAGGGTGTATTATTGGGTAAAAAGCCCGTATGGCGCGCCATTTGCCCAATAGTTCAGATAAGGTCTGTTTATCTGAATCATTGGACGAATGGCGTGCGATAAAATATGTTTACCCAGTGATATACATATCGCTTTCGATAAACACCGTTTATCAGTCGATAAACATAGTTTAAAGCTCGCCATATGTCTAATAATTCAGAAAAATACTGTTTATCTGAATTATTGGGTAAATGGCGAGCCATATACGCTAATGGTGAACATGAATAATTTTTCTTCCCCTTGTCGAACATGGTGTCCAAGGCACACGAGGCGTTAATCTACTACCGCTTATTTCAAAATTGATTGTTTCATTCAATAGATTTGATGCCTCACTAAGCAGTTTACAATAGGAACCTAGAAATAATGACGGTTGCGCCTGGAATTGTCACCGAAATTATTTTTTTCTGTGAATGTTTTTATTTATGTAGATTGTTATGATAATGATAAGTATAATAATGATAATGATATTAAATACTTGTAGTACTAATGATAATAATGCTTATGCTACTACTAATAACAATGATGATAATATCAGTATTCTGGGTTGATATACCTTTTAATACATTAGCGTTTTACAAATTATAACGGTCATCGGAGTCAGACGTGTTCATGTACACTGTATGTACATTCTCCACTCTCTATCGGGTGAGTTCTAGCCAGTTTTCCACAGGAAGTCTGTTTTTTGACAAATCCGAAACTTTGCAAATCTCTATCGCGCCCTGCTTCAAGGGGTTGCGTCTGTGGCTTGAAATTGCGCCCGGACCTGCATGATCTGTGCATGTGCCTGATTGTCCTGGAGTGGCGTAAAAGACTAAAAGTGAAATAACGCCTCGTGTGCACAGGGCCAAAAACCATCTCTCTTTTTACCCTAATCGTATATACTTCTTTTGATTATCCAGCACATTGTTAACCCTCGGCAGCAGCCAGAGATGTGGGGGTTCCATAGAAGCCGGAGCTGGTGTGATACGCTCTTCGAACTACCCTGACCGGTATCCAGCATCGGACTGTGTTTGGATAATTGACTCTGGCGCCGAGAACAGGATAAGACTCAAGTTCCAGGTCCGCGACTGCAGGTATGACCATCTTTATGTATGTTTTAATTTATACACGTGTAATTTGCGTATGTATTTAATTTTAATGACGGCAGTGTAACGCATTTGCAGATTTCTCTTTCGTAGGAAATTTATCCTATGACAACTACTCAGAGCCAAATAGCTTGCCTTTTCAATAATGAACACAAACATTTGAATTCTGCAATAAAATGATTTGGTTTTGTTATCATATACTGAACATATAATGTTTTTTAAATAAAAATTAAACAAAACAATAACAAATAACTCATCTGTCATCTGCAAATGCGTTACACTGCCCTTCACACATCAGCTTAGTACTTAGTAATTTGCATGAATGTCTCTTCTTCTCCTCTCTTTCTTCCTTTCTCTTCTCTCTTCTTTCAAAGTCGCCGTTGCGTAATAGCTATTTTATACTCCGATAATTTATTGTCTCAATCATCTCCATCCAGGCATTCTATGCCGGAGCACTTCTCATGTTGATTGCAGTGTCCGTGTGTGTGTGTAGGGCGTGTACGATTATATTTTGCGTGTGTGTAAGAGATGTGTATAGGGGCCTGTCGTGGGTGTCTTTGTATGTGTGTTGATGTGTCATAGCTGGAAAGGTGTTCCGGCGTGGAGGTGCCTGGATCATGGCCCTGGGAAGCGGGGGTGCTGGGGGTGCTGCAGCACCCCCGGAATTTTTCCAGGGGGGGGGGGGCACAGCACCCCCAGCAAAAAAAAAATTGGTATGATATGTTTAACGTATATTATTATGTGCTTCGTTTACAAAATTGTCACACAGCCGACAGCTACAAATGAAGATTAGAAAGAAGACAATTATAACGTTTCTTTCACAAAATCCTATAAAATGTATCCCTCGAAGACATTTTTTTGTTTTTAATTTTTTTATATGATAATTTTTTTTTTTTTAATTGTGGTAATTGGTGACCCAAAATGAAAATGACAGACCTTACCCCCCCCCCCCCCCAATACCGAACGACCAAATTTTCAAATTATGGGACACACAACAACAAAATATGTCCTCTTACCCCCCCCCCCCTCCCCGCTTATCCAGCGGCTAGCTGAGTCGTAGCGAAATTTTGGGACCCAAAAAAAGTCCTCTCACCCCCCCCCCCCCCGCTTATTCAACGGCTGGCTGAGTCGTTGCGAAAATTTCGCAGTATATATATCTCAGCAGCCCCGGTGGAAAAATCGTTCCCAGGGACCTGCAGCACCCCCGGTGACAAAATCGTTTCCAGAGCCCTGGCCTGGATGGACGAGATCAATAACAAAACAAAACAAGCTTTTTAAAATGCACTGCCTTTTCCTCAGTTTTATCTTATTCTTTTAATGCAAACTTTCTTAAAATTGTGATGATTGTTAAATGTTATGTTGAAATGTAATTATTTTGTATGTATTTATATTTGTATGTACATGCATAGCACCTTAAATGTCCGAAGGCAAATTGTATGTATTTTTTACATGACAATAAATTATCTTGAATCTTGAATCTTAAATCTTGAATGTTGAATTCATACCAGTCACACCAGCCCAACTCCCTAAAATGACCAATTCTCGGCCAATTGCGGTAATATATTTTATGTTCGGTCTGATGTCGGTTTCATGGGTATGGCTGGGTATCTATTTTTGCCATAACATGTATGTAGGCTATATGCTTACCAGCACAGGGTTTGAATGCAAAAGACTATCTAAGGGTATGAGGTTTCAAATCTCTTCCTAGGTTTTTAGGTTTCCAAACAATACTGTTTTTTTTATCTCGACCCGGGCATTTTCTTTAGTGGAAACTTTTAAAAGAGCAAAAGAGGTGCGGGGTTCGAACCCCAGCCGCACCACTTACGTCCTTTGTTAAGATGTTAATCTACTTTGCCACACCTCACCCAGGTGAGAGAAATGGGTACCTGGTAGGATTATTCCTTGAAATGCACTGTGTGCGATAACGGCTGCCTGAGCAAAAGCTAGAATAATAATTTCCAAAGCTCCTTTGAAGCGCACAGGGACTTTATATCATATTGTTTTAAGTATGCATCATTGCAAAAATGTGCGGTATACTATTTCAAAACGTTTGGCCTTAGCCCAACTCTGTAAAAAGCTTTGAAATAGCGTTAATGCTGTAAGCGTTTATTCCTATGTGTAATTTTTAGCGGAGATTCACTTTGGATGTATGATGGAGACGGGACTGTTGGAGTACCACTACTGGGCCAATACTGTTCGACAGTTCCGCCCACATCTATTGACTCTAGTGGACGGTTCGTGACAATCAGGTTTATGTCCGTGGGAGGAGCGGAAAACAACCAAGGCTTTGTCATATCCTATGAATCGAGTAAGCTTTTGGTGTGATGTATTTCGCAGATTTTGTTTTTTGGCACACACTTAGCCGCATCCTTGTTATCTTGGTCTATTTTACGGTAATACATAATGTTATTCATGGTAAGAGATATGATTGAAGAAAAAAAAAGGTTTCCCATGGTTCCCTTTCCATGTGGTTTATGACCACATCGGTAATCTATTTTCTTCACAATCAGCTTATATGTTTTCTCCTTTTAAACACACTGCTCTCCCTAGGATATTAATGATTTCATACGCTGAAGCTCATTTGTAAATTGGAAGCTCAGATACAGCTAATCTTTAAGATGGCTCAATTATTTCGAGTAAATCCGTTGTAACATTACCAAATTGTCACTAGATGATGAGTAAAACGAAATGAATATTTAATGAAATACCCGAAAATCCATACATTTCAGAGCCAACATTTTCAGGGATGTAGACTACCCTAAAATCAGAAAATTCGAAAATTATCATTGGCTATGTAGAAGTGTTCCGTAAGACTAAGGACAGTAAGACCCTTTGGTAATTATCCAGGAACACCTTCTTGAATATTTACAAAATGAGGGAAAGTAGGTCTAGGTGCACTCTCTTGGGTAAGTATTCTACGGATTTCTTTAAAAAAAAATACCATTATTTTTCGAGCATTCTTGCTAAATTGGCTATCCCGTTTTCTTTCCTTGACAATATAAATATATTTATGTTATAAATATTTTTTATGTTATAAATGTAAATTACCTTGAATATATATTTGTTAATTTGTTTCAAATGAAAATCAATAAAAATCCCTGTGGAGGGAAAAATATGGGGAAAAATAAATGTATGATATTTTTCATTTGTCCTTCGGTTACCCCATCTTACTTCAAGTCGATGTAGCTCTAGGTTCTCGAGTCATTTGGAGCGAGATTGAACCATCCACAGGTTCGGTTCGATTAAACAGTGTACCGGCAGACCCCGTTGTGATGTTGAAACCAGATGGCACAGTTCAGGACACCATCGTGACCGATTTCTACTTCATGGCCCCAAGTGGTAACTGGACCGCTCTAGAAACCCGGTATGGTGAGCGCGAACTGATTTGGAGTGATGGTCTTCGGAATGTCATGATCAAGGGTACGTCATCAAAAAATTATCGTTTCTTTTAATTCGGTTGCATACGAGATGTCCATTGCGGCTTGACTGTGGGTGACGCAGTCTTTGACACGCCATATGAGCGAAGAAAAAAACTGAAAGTATATAAATGGCCAGCTAAAACAACGTGTTGAATAGCGGGTGTATTGAAGCAGTATAACGCAATCGAAATTACTGGTTAAATTTGAATGTATGCGCTCAGTTGGCCTTTGTGTCTTTGCGCCTGCGTAAGTGCATGGATCTACAAGGATGTGTCTCAATCATGTTAATATCCTTATGTCACCTCTACAACCTGCAAATGATTAAAACCATTGCAGATTTTGGATCGTTTCATATATGTTATTTTAACCAGTTGCCAAGTTCATACATTAACTTAAATTTTTATTTTTCTTCAGGGTCAATGGGAAGCGACCGATCGGTGAAAACCTACGCATCTACATCACCCAGCGTTCTGGGAGTCGCAGTTGATTGGCTGACGGGCAACGTGTATTGGACAGATGCAGCGTATGATTGGATAATAATGCATGACGCAAGCGGGACGCGTAACGTGCTGATTATTGATGAGGACCTGGATATTCCTACAGGCCTAGCCATTCATCCATCCAGGGGGTATATTAATTTGTCTCCAGTTTCTTTCCGAAAGCAGATCTGGGAATTCAGTTGAGAGCAAATGTTTGGAAATGGCTGAAGTTCATGAACCTGTGGAAGAGTGGCACAGATAGTTGTTATTTTTTTTCTCAAAGAGGATTGGTGGTGGTGGTAGTAAGTGGTAGGGGGGGGGGTATTTTAAAGGACTTCGTCTACAAGGTCGCTCTTTATAAGATATCGCAATTCAGGCGCGTAGCCAGGGGGGGGGGCGGTGGGGGCGGTCGCCCCACCCCCAAAACGCCGGCCAAAAAAAAAAAGAGAGAGAAAGAGAAGAAAAAAATTAAGAGGACGTAGGAAGAAAAAGGGAAGAGGAGTCGAGAACAGTACAACGAATCGTCTTCTTTCTCTAATAATTTAATGAAACGTCAAAGCTTCCGCGCTTCGCGCGGAAAGGGAGAAACTGAGTTCAAATTAAGGATTAAGAGTCGGGAACGGGAAAACGAATAGTCTTCTTTCTCTTATAATTTGATGAAACGTCAAAGCTTCCGCGCTTCGAAAGAGGGCTGGGGACTGAATACAGATAAGGATTAATCGAATCGTCTTCTTTCTCTAATAAATTAATAAAACGTCAAAGCTTCCGCGCTTCGAATACAGATAAGGATTAAGATCAAGAAAGGTACAACGAATCGTCTTCTTTGTCAAAGATTTGTCAAAATACGTCTAAGCTTCCGCGCTATGCGCAGGAGGGGCGGACTGAATTCAGACAAGGATTATGAGTCGAGAAAGGTACAACGAATCGTCTTCTTTCGCAGCTTCCGCGCTTCGCGCGGGAGGGGGGAAACTCCCCCCTCCCTGCACCCA